CTGCTCAGCTTATCCCCAGCTCCTGGCAATGCTCAGATCCCTGAGGATCATCAGTTCCCCCTGGGCTCCCTAGCTCTCCAAAGCATTCCCAAATCCCCAGGGGTGCTTAGTTCCCTGTGGGGTCTCCAGCCCTCAGGGGCTCCCCAACTTCTGGAGATCTCCAAATCCCTGGGAATGCTGAGCTTCTCAGGACTCTATTCAGCTCCCAGGGCTCCTTAAATTCTCAGCCATGCGATGCTCCCTGTGGAGTCTCCAGCTCCCAGGGGCTCCCCAGCTTCTGGAGATCCCCAAATTCCTGGGGATGCTCAGCTTCCTGTGGGCTCTGCAACCCCTAAGGGCTTCCCAGCTTCTGAGGATCCCCAAAGCCCTGGACATGCCCAGCTCCCTGAGAGTGTCCCAGCTCTCCAAGCAACTCCCAGTTCCCGGGGGGATCCCCAAATCCCTGTGGAACACCAGCTCTCAGGGACCCCGAGCCCCAAGGGAGGTCAGGCAGCTCTGCTCTCATCACCAGCTCTCCCTGTTTTTTGTCACTTCCGCAGTTGCTGTTGCAATAAAAAGTGGGAAAGGCACTGGCTGCCCCTGCTTCCCACTCCGGGGAGGAGCCTCCTGCTCCCAGGGAGAGTCTCCTGATCTGGGGAGGCTGGGGCTGGACTGGGGGGATGTTTTGAGGCCAAACGGTGTGATTATGGGCAAACCCAGGGTGGGCGTGCACAGAGTGTGGCCATTGGAGGGTCCCCTCCCAAAATCCTTAAGGACCCAACAGTGGGGTGAAACTGGAGGAGCCCTGTGCTAGAGCTGCACAGAGTGTCCCAGAGGAGCCCCCAAAACCTGGGATGACGTCCCAGCAGGGAATGTGGGGTCATTTCCCTTCCCCAGTTCCACTTGTGGGTGCTGGAAGATGCCTGGGTGTGATGTGGGTGCCAAACCTTGACTCTGTTGGGCATCAGCAGCTGCTCCAGACCCCCTCCCCACACAAACAATTTTTGGGGGGGGCACAGCCACCCCAGAGCTCGCCCAGGTGCTGGCAGGACAGGTGGGGTGACCCTGGCAGGTGGCACCAGGCCCATGGGACAGGGAAGGTGTGGGTGTTGGGGTGCTGGGGGTGGGCGGCACCCCCGTGCTCTGCTACCCATTCCATCAACCTCCCAGTTCACCCAGCCCTGCTGCACTGGGTGCACTGGTGCTTTGCCCACCACACTGGGGCTAAGGGATGTCCCACAGCCTTACCTTGCCTTATGGGACACCCATGGATGTGCCCCCACTTCCCAACATTTCATTGCCCTGACTGGGAACAGATCAAGGACCGTTTTGGGGAAGGTCAGCTTTTATTTGCAGCATTAAATAGCACATAGAGAGGAGACAATAAATAGCTTTTAGGGGTAATAAATAACCAGCGAGTGCCCAGGCAGCACTCGCAGGGTCCGGCCAGGGGGTCTCGAGCACTGTGGGGCGATGCTGGACCCGGAGTCACAGCTGCAGCCAGGGGAGTCAGCAATAAATACGGGGTAAAAAAAGCCCCCTGGCTGCAAGGCTTATAAATAACTCATAAATAATGCGGTGAGGGGCTGGGAGGATGCCCTGGCTGTGGGTGGGTGCTCTAAAACAAGCACGGGTGAGGGGGATGCGGTGACACGGTCACACTACGGGGGCTCCACGGGAGCAGGGGAGGGTCAGCGCCTGGTGCGGGGCAGGACGCAGGTGCAGCCCACGGGCACCTTGATATAATCCACCTCGAAGGTGACGAGGCCCAGCCCGGTGGGGTGTGGGCAGGGCTTGCGCCGCAGCACCATCATGGTCTGGTGGATGGTCACAGAGTTGAGCGACGTCGTCTCCCGGCCGGTCTTGACATCCACGCAGCCGCTGCACAGGCACTCGGCGAAGGCCAACTTGCGCGGGTACCGGTTCTCGTCCTCGTCGATGCTGCGGGGACACGCTCGGTGAGACCCTTCCCTGTGCCCCCTGGGTCACCCCGGCTGGGATCAGCCAACCGGGGTGCAC